CCCGGTCAGGGCACATGCCCAATCCCCAGTGTGGGGCGTGCAGGAGGCAGCTGATCCATGATTCTCTCTCATCATTGATGTTTCTCTCTCTCTCTCCCTCTCCCTCTCTGAAATCAATAATAATAATAAAAATAATATATTTAAAAAGCTGTTTTCCATTGGCTTCCGTTGACATTTATCACTTCATATAAACACATTGGAAAATGGTGACTTCCTTCTGTTTACCTCATGGGGATGGATTTGTGGGGAGAAGAAGCTGTGTTTCCGACCTCGAATTTTTCATTCTTCAGAGGTTTCCGACGAAGCAGAGCTACTTAGAAGTGGTTAGGTGACCTTTCTGTCTGATGCAGAAGAGAGTTAAGTTAAAATTTGTTCTGGGGTTTCTGCTTTCAGTTCAATAGATCGGTTACCTTCTAGGAGTGACGTTGTGGCGGTTATAGCTGCATGCCACTAAGTCGCATTTAATGCCAAATGGGTTGAAAGGCTGAGGACTCCCAGAAGCAGCGGGGCCTGTGTCCGAGATGCCACCACCATCCCTGTGAGGTCCCGTCGTCACCTGAGCCCGTGACTTGAGTGAAGTTAAACGAACTTGATGTGCACTCCCTACTCCATTTCATGCCTCATGGTCAGACCCCCTCCTGCTCACAGCCACGGGCCGGGGGCGGGGGTGCGGGTGGTCCCTCCTTCCCATTTCCTGCTTCACTGAACAGCTTGTCCGTCGGGTGCTTCTCCGGCCGATGTGCTGCTTTGTGTGGTTTCGAGAGCATTGAGCTTAGAGTGGGAGGCACGGGACCTGGCTTTGTCTCCGTTGTCGTCGGTGTATTGTGTCTTTCTGTCGTTATTGATCAATTTAACTCATTCTAACATCTTTGTAGGAATTGTATGCAAGGAAATTAATCTGTTAGTTCAGTTATGTGGAAGGACTGGCTTAAGAAGTCATGTTGCAAGGAGCTGACTTCCTTAACTCTTCATTCACTCAGCAAATTACTCACTGGACTTCTCACTGAGAATAAAAAAATGATTCAAACAGAAAGCCTGTCCTCAAAAGAGATTTTTCTCTCTATGGAAGGATACCGGCCATAGAAAATGCTCTGAGGAGGTTGCTGGTTTGATCCCCAGTCTGGGCACATGCCCGGGGTCCTGGCTCGATCCCCCAATAGCAGCCGATTAGTGATGTTTCTCTTCCATCGATGTTTCTACCTCTATCCCTCTCCCTCCTTCTCTCTCTAAAAATCAATAAAAACATATTAAAAAATATTTGGAGATAACATGTAGGTTTTTTTATAGCCATCGTTTTCCTGTCTCTTATTACCAGCCTTTAATTCAGCACCATTTAGTCCTAGGCATTGGGGGGAAATGTACTCAACACTGGAAGAAACTTAAGAAGTAAAGTAACACATAACCGCTGCCATCAAGGGAGGCAGTGTGACAGGGACAGGTGATGCACAGGTGGTGTGTCCGGGCGCTCATTGGCTCCCTCCCCTGACCTCGGACGTGGGTGGTGTGGCCCTTCACTTGAAGTAGAAGCTCAGAGTCTGCCACTCTTAGGTGCGAATCACTTTGTTACTCTGTTTTAGTTTAAAAACCAAATCCCTTAAGAAGAACGCTTCATCCCTTAATTAAAAACTCAATTAAAAAGAAAAATTTATCCAAACTGTCATAAGGGTGGTTCATATTATTCTTAGAGGGTCGAAAGGTTCACGTCTTCTAAAAATATTTTTTTTATTGATTTCCAAGAGGAAGGGAGAGGGGGAGAGAGAGACAGAAACATCAACAATGAGAGAGAATCACTAATCGGCTGCCTCCTGCACGCCCCACACTGGAGATCAAGCCTGCAACCCGGGCCTGTGCTCTGACCGGGAATTGAACCGTGACCTCCTGGTTCATAGGTCGATGCTCAATCACTGAGCCATGCCAGCTGGGCTAAAGGTGCACATTTTGAAATAATTTTATTCTACTCATTGAAAAACCCATATGAAAGGCAAAAGAAGTCATTTTCAGTATTATAGTAGCGATGTCATGAAAACATGCGAAATTCTACCTAAATCTCTCAGTGGGAAAACAAATTAAGACTGTATCTGGATGTTGGGTTCTTCTCCTGTGCATGGATAATAATATAGCACGACTATTACTGTCTTGATAAATTTTTAAAGGGAACAGCGTTTTAGTTCTTGAAAAGTCACCTAGTGTTGTGCATGTAAGTTAGTCAGGTTCATCTTTAGCTTCTGACCCAACTACTTGTAATTTTGGTAACTTGACTGACAAATTCCAGGTGCTTTGTTTTTGTTTGTTTTTATTTTTCTATTTTTATTTCTTTTAATATATTTTATTGATTTTTTACAGAGAGGAAGGGAGAGGGATAGAGAGTTAGAAACATCGATGAGAGAGAAACATCGACCAGCTGCCTCCTGCACATCTCCTACTGGAGATGTGCCCACAACCCAGGTACATGCCCTTGACCGGAATCGAACCTGGGACCTTTCAGTCCGCAGGCCGACGCTCTATCCACTGAGCCACACCGGTTTCGGCTGTTTGTTTGTTTTTAATCCTCACCTGAGGATATTTTTCCCAATGATTTCCAGGGAGTGAAGGGCGGGAGGGAGAAACATTGATGTGAGAAAGACACCTCAATTAGTTGCCTCCCACATGCACCCTTACAGGGCTGGCCTCCAAGAGCGTGGCTCATGCTCTTTCCGTGAGTGAGATGGGGGTTTCCCCGCAAGTGAGGCTGACTTGCCAGAGCTCACAGGTCTGACTGCTGTCGTTGGAGGAGACAGTCAGCACGTTGTACCGGGTGTTGCCTCGTTCTGTGAGTAGGTGAGCTGCCGCAGCCTGGGATGACAGGGAAAAGTTAAGGTTTTCCATGGGCTGTGAGATGAAGAACACAGTGGTTTCATTCCTCTGTGTGCTCCATTGTCTCATAGACTGCTGTCTTTCTGCCGCTGTCCTGTCTGTGTGTTTCTGTCTGCGTCTGTTTTTCTCTCACCGGTTCATAGACTGCCTCCTTAACTCCAACTTATGGATTGTATATGCAGTGTTTTCCAGAAATATACAGTCAGAGCACGAAGTTTCCGTAATGGACTTGAAATTCCTGTGTACCACTTTCTGCCTGTATGTCTGGACTTAGGTATTTAAAGTTAAATCTGTTTGCTTGTTTGCTAAGAATGAGCAGAATGGAAAGGAAAGTCACAGTGGGCAAGGCAGGGCCGTCCCAGGCCAGGCACGGTGCTCAGTACTGAGAGGCACACGGCAGAGAACGTGGACCCGCCACCACGTATTCACAGTCCAGTTGAGGACGGGAACGGACACATGGGGAAATGGCAGGCGTTTCAGGTGGTGGAGAAAAGCCAGGGGATTGGGATAAAAGTCCATTTGGGCCCTGGCCAGCGGGCTGGCCCGCACACCAAAGGGCTGCAGGTTCGATCCCTGGCCCCAGTTGGGGTGCATGCAGGAGGCAACCAGTCGATGTGTCTCTCACATCAATGTTTCTCTCTCCCTCTCTTCCTCCTCCCTCCCTTCCACACTCTCTGAAAAGCAATAGAAAAAATTCACACACACACACGCACACACACACACACACACAGCTGGTTTGGGACAGAGGCAGCGTGTAGAGGGACGTCCTGACTATGAGCCCCAGTCCCGTGCCCTCTGCCTGGGGGACAATTTGAAAGTCTCCCCTTTCCTTGTAAACGAGAGGATAGGACTGCCTCTCCGGGCTGTGGGGACGAAGGAAGGAGACCACGTGTGAGACGTGCCAGCCCCAGTCTGACGCATCGGTGCTCAGCGAGCGGCGTCACTGCTGTGGCCTGTGGCGCAGCCTCCGTGGAGGTGGGACTCACATGTGGACGGGCAGAGCCCCGCGGAGGCCCCGAGGGGAGCAGGACGGGGAGGAGGGACAAGCACAGGGAGGTGAGGCCGGAGCCAGCTCCCCAAGGTGCTCGGGGAACGGCGAGGAGACCAGTCCGCGTGGAGAGCTGGTGTGGGGACAGGATGGGCGGTGGCTTTAAGCCTGTTACCTTGGACAAGCTCTCAGTCTTCTAGGATGCTTTGGTCTTGTCCTACTTAGAACCAGTATATGGACTAGAGGGAGAATAAAGACTCTATCTCAGCGTTTTGCGTACTTTCTGGAGAGCATTCTTGATCATGGGGGCTGTCATTTCTCTCTCTTTGCCGTCTCCCCACTCCCTTCTCTCACCTCCGTTCTCATAGGGTTTCCCCTTTCCTAGCTTCCTCTTATCCCTGTCTGGGCCTGGGTGCAGCCAGGCGCCCACCGTACCGGGTAAACCTGCTCTTGCTGGTTGGGGCTGAGGGACTGTCACCTGTGGACTGGAAGGAACACAGCCCAGGGTCTTTGGTCTTTGAAATGTACCTGGTTTTTAAAACCTGTCATTCCAGTAACATCCACTGTGTGGTGCTCACGCATCAGAAATGAATTCTAAGACTCGTGGAAAGGGAGCTCAGGAAACGTGACCACGTGTGGGAGGCTAGAATCCAGAATCACAAAAACAGGAGGGAAAGGGAGCATGCTCATGTGCCGCAGAAGCTTTGCCTGGGACTCATAGTACCACTTTCAGATGCCACTCACTGATGTCACACATTCCAGAACATTCAGGCGTCAGGTGCTGCAGGCTCTCCTCAGCGAGGTGCGGACAGACATGCAGGCAGGGTCCCAGAGCGTTCGTACAAAGCTGTCAGGCAGCTGCAGAGCAAACCTGTGCTGTTGGTGACGTCTAAAGTGACAGCAAGACGCCAGCTCGTCCCTGTGCGACGTTAAGTACGTGCTCCGACAGGTGGTCAGAGCTCCGGGCTGCCTTTCCCGTCGGAGGCTGCCGTTGCTCTGACCAAAGGTGGTTCTAAAATAAACCCTTTTTTAAAAATTTCTTTTTGGTGAGAAGCTGCGCTCTCATTTAGAACAACCTGGTCGTTTCCGTGCCGTCGGCGTCTCGCCGGCTGAGCTGCGGTTGCCGTCGGGGCCGTAGCTCACGGGCCTTTCCTTGCAGGTGTTCATCTCTGTGAACTGCCTGAGCACGGACTTCTCCTCCCAGAAGGGCGTGAAGGGCCTGCCGCTGAACATCCAGATCGACACCTACAGCTACAACAACCGCAGCAACAAGCCCGTGCACCGGGCCTACTGCCAGATCAAGGTCTTCTGCGACAAGGTGGGCTGCGGCGGGGCGGGAGCACGGCAAGGGCAGGCCGCCCTCGGGAGAAGGGCAGGGCCTTCCCATGTTAAGCTCGGTGTCACGTACTGCTGTTCGTGTAAAGGAGGGGTAGCAGTCACTGTTCCAGCCGTCAGGGACACATTAGAGAGGGAAGAGAAGAATCTTGTTTTTATGGAAAATCGCTTTTCTAAAAATATGTTTTTATTGATTTCAGGGGGAGGAGGGAGAGAGAGAGAAACATCAATGAGAGAGAATCATCGATCGGCTGCCTCCTGCACGCCCCCTACTGGGGATCCAGCCCGCAACCCTGGGCATGTGCCCTGATGGGGAATTGAATCATGACCTCCTGGTTCATGGGTCAAAGCTAAACCACAGAGCCATACTGGCCGGGCGGAAAAATGGCATTTAATTGGGTGTGTCTGATAGAGCACGCGGGCTGTGCTCCGTCCTCGGTGGCCCCCCAGCCTACCGGTTCGTAGGCAGTGCCGCTCTCTTAAAGCTGTGTCTCTGCCGAAACTGGTTTGGCTCAGTGGATAGAGCGTCGGCCTGCGGACTGAAGGGTCCCAGGTTCGATTCCGGTCAAGGGCATGTACCTGGGTTGCGGGCATATCCCTAGTAGGAGATGTGCAGGAGGCAGCTGATCGATGTTTCTCTCTCATCGATGTTTCTAACTCTCTATCTCTCTCCCTTCCTCTCTGTAAAAAATCAATAAAATATATTTAAAAAAAAAAAAAAAAAAAAAAAAGCTGTGTCTCACTTTACCTTTGGTGACGGACCATGATTTCTATTTCTAATCCGCATGAACTTACACTTCTGTAAATGACAATAACAATGCATATGAATTGCTGGGAAAATGAAACAAAGTTATACAAGCTGCAAGCCCCATTTTTAATTACTGACTCAGCAGACTTAAACGTGTCCTATCTAATTGCTTCCCAAATGCCTTCTCAATTTCTGGTGTGTTTTCACGCAGACCACAGCAGGCTGTGGACTGAGGCTAGTCCACGGTCACACTTTGAGTTTTGCTGTATTAGAGGCGTCAGCACGAGTTAGCACGAACTGAAGGTTTCCGTGTCCGGCAGTAAAAACTGAGCAGGCAGCTGCCGGGAGAAAGGCCAGGACCGATTCATGCTCTTAACCCATTTGGTTTCAACATCAAGACCTTGAAGGAAGTTCCTGTGTCGGTAGCCGACTTAGAGACGGAAACGCAGAGAAGCTCACGAATGGCCCGGTTATTTTATGAATCAGCGGCCGCTCTGCCGTGTGAGTGCGTGCTGACGGGTTCTGGGGAGCAGAGGCCTTTTCCCCAAGGCTGCGGAACTGGGAGTGGTTGGGACAACACCGAACCCTCTTCCGGTGTCACTGCTGCCTGTGTGTTCGTGTAGGTCACCTGCAAGGCAGCATCTGTCCCGGGTCCTGGATCGCAGGTCAGGTGCTCAGGCCGAGTCGGGTGCTGGTCCATGTAAGCGCTGTGCGGTGAGAAAGGCAGCCCCACAGCGCGGAGAGACGCGGGCTCTGCCGGATCCCCTCGGCCTTCATGGCGGGGGCTGCCTCTGTAAATCCCTTACAAACACCCTGCTGGTTGCCCTGCTTGCCGGGGCAGAGACCGTGCAGGCGGGAGTTGCTGTGTCCTCCTGCGTTCAGGCCTGTGACACACAGGGGTGGTCAGAAGCGTCGTATCATAGCCGGGTGCCCAGGGACATAGAAGGTGCAGTTACACACTGTTCTTTCTCATCCCCACTTTCTGTTTTTGTTTTTGTTGATTTGTTTTTTTTTTTTAAATCATCCCGTTTTTAATCTCAGGGCTGTCATGGATCATATAAAAATCCTGCACGAGAAGAAAATAGTATGTATGTGTTTTGTGTCGTTAATTTTCAGTCTTTGAGCTTTTCAGCCACATGCCGCCTCCTGTGCGCCACCCCCATCGTGGCCCAGGTCTGTCCTTGCTGACAGTCGAGGTGGCTGCTTCTCGTCTGGGTTCGTCCTCTGCTCCTCTCTGTGCAGCATCCCCCCTGCCTCCCGATTCTCCTCTTTCTGAGGTTCGATTCCCGTGGCACTTGGCGCCCGTCTGCTCATGTCCCGCTGCTGGCCCTCAGGCTCTCACATCTAGGAGTCTGGTCGACCTTTAATCAGACGCTAAAGCGAAGGCGCCTTTTGTACCCTTCAGAGGCGCTTGCAGGTCTCCCAAGAAGTGTTATCAGTACTTTACTGTGAGTTGCTTAATTAGTTTGGCAAATAGAATTCTCTCTTATTTCAGAAACAGCAACAATTTAGTGCTTTTTCAGAGAAAATGGGGACAGAAGTTGGGTGGCTGACAGTGGAAGCGTGGCATCCCCTCTCTCTGAGCTCATGCACACCCAGTCTGTCCTGGAGAGAAACGGTCACTGACACTGCTACCCGCGTCTCGGCCACTGTGGCTGTGACTGGGCTCACTGCGTCCGTGAAGGCAGTGACAGGCCAGCGACTTCCCAACTCTGCATGCAGCCTGGCCACAGCCACTGTGGAGGGGAAGTTGCTGCTGTTTCCCTGTGATTCCATAGAGTTAAACATCGTTTTAAGAATAGGCTTTTCAGCCCGGCGGGTGTGGCTCAGTGGTTGAGCATCGACCTAGGAACCAGGAGGTCACAGTTCGATTCTGAGTCAGGGTACAGGCCCGGGTTGTGGGCTCGATCCCCAGTGGGGGCGTGCAGGAGGCAGCCGATCCATGATTCTCTCTCATCGTTGGTGTTTCTATCCCTCTCCCTTCCCCTCTGAAATCAATAAAAATATTTTTTAAAAAATAGGCTTTTTAGAGGAAACTGCGTGATAAGCTCCAGGAACGTAATAGGCAGTGGGCCCATTTCCAAGAGGAGCTGTCCCCACCCCCACCGCTGCGGGGGAGAGTCACATATTTTAAAGAGGATCAGATAAATAGGATCATGTTTTCTCTTGTTTTGTCTTGACCTATAGGGAGCCGAACGGAAAATCAGGGACGAAGAACGAAAACAAAGCAAAAGAAAAGGCAAGTGCCCTGGCCCCGCTCCCAGGTGAATGCCGGTGAGCAGGACCGTGGCCTCCGGGCTCAGCCCCTTTCCTTTCGGAGCCCAGCCAGCCTGGGCTTTCACGCAGGAGCCAGCTGGCTGCTTCCCTGCTGTGATGGAGGCCCGGCTCCCACCACCAGCTGAGGCGGAGGGTGGCTCGGGGTGGTCTCCCCAGGGGGGATGGAGGGCACAGGCGGGCTCCTGACTCTGCCCGCGTTTTGGCTGTCACTTCCTGCGCAGCCGCTGGTGGCAGCCTGGTGAATAGCTGATGACAAACTCGGGACTTGCCTGGGTTTTTATGAATAATAACACCCCTGAGAGCTCAGGGTGTCTTCATTCCAGATGAGCAGCTTTCCTCTGTCTCGCATTCTAACGTTTGCAGAATCTACAGAGCCTCAGTTTGGACATCTCGCCAGGAAAGCCTTTCTCTTTTTAATGTGACCGATATCCACACTCACAAAACCCTCTCTCGCCATGAGGGAAAACGGCTCTTTGCCAGCGGTTCCCTCCGCAGGGCGTGGGCGCTGCACCTGTTCTCCGAGCGGTGGCTGGCTCGGCGGACATTTGCACTAGACAGGGGCCCCTGCGGCCTCGGGGTGCCCGACGCCCCTCCCGGGAGCAGCTGTTGGCTGGGAAAGCTGTCGCTGAGGCCTCCGGGGCGGGGAGGGGCACCCTACAGCCTCATAAAGGAGAAGTCAGACCGTGGTGCCCTCAGCCTCGCTGAAAGGAAGGAGCAGGGAGGGGTGTCGGAGTGAGAAGAGGCTTGTGTTAGAATGTGAATTCCTCCATGCGGGCAGCTATGGTGAATCCCACTGAGTTCTGTCCATGCACTTCCCATCTTTGAGCCTTCCAGACAGAGCAGTGCTTTGCGTCTGTTCCTGATTGTGTGTGCGTGTCTGTGTGTGTGTCTGTGTGTGTGAGCGCGTGTCTGTGTGTGTGTCTATGTCTGTGTGTGTGCGCGCGTGTCTGTGTGTGTGTCTATGTCTGTGTGTGTCTGTGTGCGCGCGCATGTCTGTGTGTGTGTCTGTGTGTGCGCGCGCGTCTGTGTGTGTCTATGTCTGTGTGTGTCCGTGCGCGCGCGCATGTCTGTGTGTGTGTCTGTGTGTCTGTGTCTGTGTGTGTCTGTGTGTGTCTGTCTGTGTGCGCGCGCATGTCTGTGTGTGTGTCTGTGTGTGCGTGCGCATATCTGTGTGTGTGTGTATGTCTGTGTGTGTGCGTGCGTGTCTGTGTGTGTCTCTATGTGTGTGTGTCTCTGTGTGTTTACAGGTGCCTTCTCCTCTGATTTTGATAAGACGTTCGATTGCTTTTAATGTGCGACACACCAGCAGCACACTCCTTCACACAAACCGCTTCCTCCGAGGTCCGGGACGGGGCCTGCCTCCCTCGGTGCCACGGCTGAAGCTTCTGACCTTTGAGGAGCCTGCTCCCTGCGTCCGGTTCGTACACACAAGCTGCTGACTGGTGTCCTCCTTTTTCAGTTTCTGATGTTAAGGTGCCGCTGCTTCCCACTCACAAACGCATGGATATCACAGTCTTCAAGCCCTTTGTGGATCTGGACACGCAGCCTGTGCTCTTCATTCCTGACGTGCACTTCGCCAACCTTCAGCGGGGCGCTCACGTACGTAGCAGGGTCCCAGGGCGGCTGCAGGGACGGGAGGCTCAACCGAAAGGAAGGCTTTGTAAACAGAAGCCAAAACTGAGTGAGGCGTGCCCGCGCCCAGGTCAGCTCAAGGAGTGTCCGTGGGTGACGGGATGTCCTCGCAGTCGGGCTGTGTGAGCGCCGTTGGACACGCAGTGCCAGACCCGTCACCTAAATCCTCTTGGTGGTGGTGGTGGTTGGTGATCCTCACCCGAGGATATTTTCCCATTGATTTTTTAGGGAGAGTGGAAGGGAGGGGGAGAGACAGAGAGAAACATCGATGTGAGAGACACATCCATTGGTTGCCTACCACACACGCCCAGGCCAGGGCTGGGGCTCGAGCCTTATCTCAGGTATGCATCCTCGATTGGAATCAAACCCGGGGTCCTCCTGTCTGCGAGCCAGCACTCCATACACAGAGCCAAGCGGCCAGGGCCAGGTTCTGTTTATTTCGATGTTAGCTCATTTACAAGGTGCTAGCATAGTCACATAAGTTGGAGTTGGAGTCTTTGATCTCGTGGACTTAACTTCTGTGGGTCTGGACAGGAGGGAGGAGCCAGAGGGGTTCATGGGGTCAGGCAGCCTCATGGCATGAAGAGCAAGGTTTCGGGCACTGGGTCGCCATTGTGCGCAGACAGCCGTGTCTCGGCGCCCAGAGGCTGGTGGCGAGAGCGTGAGCAGAGTGGAGCGCGCTGTCCGCCCTGAGCTCAGATGCACGCGGGAAGGCGCTCTGCGCGCGTGGCAGGCACACTTAGGTTCGTGGGGACTCGTGGGTTTTAGAGTCTCGGGGGAAGCCATTGCTAGTGTATTCGGTTCTAATGAGAAGCTTTGGCAAACTTTTTCTGACAAGGGCCAAGTGATAAACATGTAGGTGTTTGTGGCCTTCCGGTCTCTGCTGGGACGACGTCACCCGCGGCCTGTAGAGCCCCGGCAGGCGTCACAGCCCCGCAGGGCCTGCGCTGGCCACGGGCCAGCAAGCGCTTTCTGTCCTCGCCCTCGGGCCAGGCTCGCTGCCGCCCGAGGTGGAGGAGCCCAGCATGTCTCCGAGAATCTGGTCGATGAAAAATGAGGCGAAAGGTTGTGTGTTCGCTGGGTCAGATTCAAGATCGCGTCCATTTGAGGAATAACTTACTTGTGGTCTGAACTGCTGTGCGCAGGTCCTTGTAAAGCACCCGTTGTCTTGTCTGCAGGTCCTTTCCATGGCCTCGGAAGAACTGGAGGGGGAAGGGTAAGATTATGCTTTGTTTTGTTCTAATAAGTTCTTTTTATTTTGGAACAATCTCAAACGTCGAGAAAAATTGCAAGTCTGATAGAAAGAACTCAGGTTTTCCTGAGCCCTTTGACCTGGTGACCGTCATTGCTCAGCACTGAGTGTGCCTCCTGCATCTGGGGACGAGGACCTGCCCCCGCGTGACAGGACAGTGACACAGACACGGGCCCAGGCGGCACTCGCCCCACTCGGGTCTCGCCAGGTGCTGCAGTCCGGCCTTTGGAGTGGGGAGGGGGCCAGCGCGGACCCACTCGGTGCCCTTAGCTGTCATCCTCCACGCCCACAATCTGGGGCCCATCTCTCCTCCGGTCCCTGAGCCAACACCCTGGCAGGTTCCAGCTGTTCTGTGGACTGCCCCCAGTGTGGCCTCCTGGTTAGACGGGATCGTGCCCCTGGGCAGGAAGGCCCGACCCTGCTGCCTTCCCCGGAGGCCGTCCGGCGGCACACAGCCCGCTGCTGCCCGACGCAGGGGTGTCACCAGGCTCCTCTCTCCTGTGATAAGTGCTTTGTGGGGAAGGCGCCTTGTAGCTTTGTAAGCCCCTCCTCCCTCATCACACTTTCAGCTCACTCCCTTATTTCTATCAGCGTGGGCTCCCGGTTTCCCGTTGTGTTCAGTAAGCTGTAGCCCAGCACTGCCGCTTGTCTGCTCAGCTTGTCCCCAAGGCCGGCAAAGGCCCCCAGTTGCTCCCAGACCCTCCGACAGGCCCTCCCCGCCCCCCATCCCCTGGGCCTGGCGCTCCCCCACCTCGGGCAGCTGTTCGGGGCACAGTGCTTCCCTGCTCCCCGGACCCCGCTCCGCGTGGTGAATGGCTCAGACCCGGCTGGGCGCTGGGTGTGCGCGCAGCCATTGAGGTGTGGCTGCCCCCCCACAGTGGGCACCTCCTGAGCCTCTGGGCCCTGACTGCCACCTGGCAGCCTCCTGCCCGGTGCTCCCCGTGGGGGGGGCCCTCTCTGGGCCCCGTCCTAGCCCCGTCCGTGGTGCCTGCGGTGGCCTCTCTGCCTCTGCTGTGCTCAGACCTAGCGCTGCGCGTGCTTTCCTAGGAGGCCTCCTAGGTTCCCGACTCTGGGACAGACGGTTTAAAACCCAACCCTGTTCTTGAAGCGATGATTCTGCTCAAAGCCAGGCACTCGCTCTCTTCATTTCCAGTCACTTTACTGGTTTTTCGCTCACCTACTCTGAACCTCACAACGTTCACACCCATAACATGCTTTTGACAGCCAGTCCCGCCAACCTTTTCACTTCTTTCTCTGGCTTCCCCCCTTAAACCCCCTTTATTTTTTGTTGTTGTTGTTAATCTCACCTAAGGATAGTTTTCCATTGATTTTTAGAGAGAGGCAGAGGAAGGGGAGAGACACAGAGAGACATCGGTGTGAGAGAGACACAGAGAGACATCGGTGTGAGAGAGACAGAGAGACATCGATGTGAGAGAGACACAGACATCGGTGTGAGAGAGACACAGAGAGACATCGGTGTGAGAGAGACACAGAGAGACATCGATGTGAGAGACACACAGAGACTGGCTGCCTCCCACACACGCCTGTTCAGTCCGTCTCTTTCCGGAGCCTCCTGTTTGTGTCCACAAGATAAGGAGGCTGGAGCTTCAGGAGTGAAGGTCACCCCAAGTCTGAGCTCGGGGCCCTGCCCGAGGCCCGTTGGTTTCGCAGGCGCCTGGGGTGGAAGTCACTCACTGTGCCTTCGTTTCCGCAGCTCGAGCTTGAAGAGGGGGCCGTACGGATCCGAGGACGATTTTGTGGTCCCCCCGCCTGCTAAGCTGACCCGGATCGAAGAGCCGAAGAGAGGTGCGTTGGCCTCATGTCTTAGCGGGAGTTTTACATGGGAAGTGAGGTCTCAGTCCGCCAAAAGCATCAGGCGCTCAAACCAGCCTTGTCCGGTTTGACGTCCTGGTCCTGGCGTGAGCTTAAAGGAACGGCAGGGTTAAGAGCAGCCGGAAGCTGTGCCCTCAGGGCGTGGTGGGCTGGTTCCTGCTGGCGTCCGGGGTGTGGACGCCTCTTTATTTTAGCCGGTGCCAGGCTCTGCTTTCCCATTTTGCGCATATGCATGAACCGTGTCCTTTTTCCTCTCTCACCTCCCGATGGGGCTAGTGCTGCTCTACGTGCGGAAGGAGGCAGAGGAAGTCTTCGACGCCCTGATGCTCAAGACTCCATCCTTGAAGGGCTTGATGGAGGCCGTGAGTAGTGTGCTTTGCAATAATGCTCCTTAACAAGGGAAAGCTGCCTGGCCGGCGTGGCTCAGTGGTTGGGCATTGACTTAGGAACAAGGAGGTCACATTCCCAGGCTAGATCCCCAGTGTGGGGCTCGCAACTGATTCGAATCGTCTGACCCCAAAGCAAGGCCTTTGTACACTTGCTCGGAATATGTGTGGGTGTGGGTGTGTGTGTCTCTGTGCATTTGTCAGAACCCGTGAGTGTACAACACGGGACGCAGTGAACACGGTGGACTTGAATTCGTAACCTTGTAGCTCGTTGCCTGTGACAAGTGCAGGCACTGATGTGAGAGGTTAATTCATAGCTGGTACCTGGGGGAGCAACTCTGTGTTTCTGCCAGCTTTTCTACGGGCTGAAAACTGCTCTGTGAAATCTTAAACACTGACCCGTCAGCAATCAGAAACTTAAATAATAAAAGAACTGGCACATAATACACTTACGGACATCTGTACGCTCAGGGAATAGAGCTCCTGTCCCAGCTCCCTCCACAGGGAGGCGCCCCCCTCCCACTCTCCGGGCTGTAAAGACATAAGCATTTTGAAAATCAAAGTTGAGTGATTGTCCCACTATATTCATATTTACATAGTTGTTTGTTAAAGCCAGAAAATGCCATTTTATCATTCTTTTTCACTGCTCTTCTCTTTAGATCTCAGACAAATATGCTGTTCCCCATGACAAGATTGGGAAAATATTCAAGAAATGTAAAAAAGGGTAAGCATCCATTCCCTGGCATTCCAGCGCCTGAGATAATTTATTCAGCGTGACTGCTGCTCACGCGCACTCGGGCCCAGTCCAGAAACCTTACAGAAGCCTGACTGGCAGGATGTGCTTTTCCTGAAATGACCCACATGCAGCCCAGCTCCCTTTCTCGGCCTCCTCGTGGGGTTCTGCTCTTCTCCTTGGAGCAGAGCCCGTCAAGGGCCAGGCTGGGTCGGGCTTCCCATGTGACTCACTGTTCCGTGACCCTCTGAGCTGGCTGTTCCTGTGCAGGTTAGAGGCACAGAGCGGGAGACCTGCCCTGACCAGGCCGGGCCAGGGGTCCCCGTGAGTGTTGACCGAGTCCCCGCCTTTGCTGCTGCCCCTCCCTCTCTGCCCTGGGCCGTGCTTGCAACCACAGAGCAGGGCGTCCTTGTCCAGAAAGCGGTATTTTAGTTGGAGTGTCTGTGTTGTTGGGCAGGGTCAGCGGGGCAGAGAATTCTAAAGCACATCCTAAGGGGAACTTTGTAGATGGGCCTGGCGGGGAGGGACGGACTTAGTGCTGATTCCGTTAAACGCTGAGGGTAACTGGCCAGGGAGAGCCTTCGTCAGGACTGTGGCTTCAGCTCCCGCAGGTGATCTGACTGATCTGCTCTCTAAAGCCAGACCATGCAGGGCTCTGCCGTGGCCTTGCTGTGTGCGTTAGAACAGTTTACCGCGTGGTCACTACACGCTGAGGTAACAAGAAAGAAGCGAGTGTTCTGTGGAGCGCATGCCCTGCACTGTGACGAGTGCTTTGCTTGAGTGCCCACTGAGCCGAGACGGGCACTGTCATCCCGTCGCACAGCTGGGGGGTCTAGGGTTAGGGCCTTAAGTGATTGGCCTCGCGTGCCACAGCGAGTAAGCGGCAGAGCCGGCTGCACTCGGACGCCCCGATTTCGGGGGCAGCCTGAGCGTCCGTCTCGCCCTCCCCCCAGGATCCTGGTGAACATGGACGACAACATCGTGAAGCACTACTCCAATGAGGACACCTTCCAGCTGCAGATGGAGGAGGTGGGGGGGTCGTACAGGCTCACCCTCACTGAGCTCTGAGGCGCCCTGGCCCCCAGCCCCGCAGTTCAACGAAGGTGTTGCCTCGGCCTTGCTGCCTGCCGAGCCACAGGCCACTGGTCAGCCTCCTGCCAACCACGCGCGATGTCGGTGGAAGGGACTCCTTTCGCGTTGGAGATGGGGCCGCATGCGGCTTGGAGGTGGCGTGGAGTATATTGCACCGGCGCTTCTCAGATGAGGAATCCATATACTATTATTACGCTTGCCTTTTCTGATATAAATACTTAAGGATAAAAGTGAAAACTCTGTTCCAAGATCTAATACTCTCTGGGAACCTTTAGGATATCTGCTATGTTATTTATAAAAGTATTTTTTATTACAGGTTCAATTCAATATTATGTGGTATTAGTTCCAGGTGTGTAGCAGTGGCCAGACTATACAACTATTGGGCTCTCCCCCTGCGTCTTCAGTGTTAGCGGCCTGCCCAGTGCAAGTCAGAAAAGGCAGTGGGTGTGGCTTAAGGCTTCGGTGTCACTACCTGCCTCAGGGTAGTGGGAGCCCCGTCTCAAGAACAAAGGATCCACCCTCTCCCGTGGCCCCCCCACCCCCCCACCCCTCCGTTCATGTTTACTCCTGCAGAGCGCGTTACAGGAACCGCCCGTCTCGACTCACTTGAAGCACTCGCTGCCTTTCTCATGAAGACCGGGGGCCCGGGGGGCGGTGGCAAGCTAGCGCCACAGTGTACGTGAGTGCAATACAGTTCCCAAGCCCGCGTCTGTAAATGTGTACATACGTGTCTATACAGATAGATAATATATGCATGCGGCGCCCGTGGGCATACACGGAGAGATGCGATGACGGCTGCCTGAGAGACTTGGCCTGACGGGAGGCTGAGTTATTTTGATCATTCACGTCAACCAAGCAGACAGAACACTGCTCGGCGGAATCCAGAGCACGCAGTCACCCCGAGCGATCAGGCCTGCTCAGCCGCGGCTCGCCCTCGAGCTGCTGTCATGGGATCTGCACTGTTTACACATGAAGTAAAGGGAAGACGCCCGCGGTGGCTCCTCCGCGCGTGGTGTGTGCGAACGTCAGCCCTGTGGCCTCGGCACGACAGACAGCGATGCGGCCGGCCTCCCTGCCAGCGGGAGGGCGTCCTCCGGCGTCGCAGAGCCTCGCGCCTCGATTACCTGTGCACTCGCCGTGTGGACGCGGTCACGGGTTTATGGGACTCACGGGCAGGGGGACGTCCTGTACATGTTAAGTATCTGGGAAGACTACACAGTCGTTTTACAACAGATAAAATCACGGGTATCTGTCGGGTCAGGGAACTAGTTTGTAGAAGTAGGATGGGTAGTTGCATTCTTGCGTTAAAATATCCTAATGAAGTATGTGAACTGAATTGCTGGTTTTCTAAAATAAGATAAGGGACACGGGTCATATGACAATATTTTCTATTGTGTTTTATGAAATTGATTTTGTCTTGTTTACTGTTTTAATTGTATCGTTGAAGATGTGTTTTAAGCCAACGGGATTAAATGTCTGTGCCTCTCTCATATGACGTCATTTCCTGTTCTTCCGTTTGAATGTGCCTTTCCTGAGGACGGCAGCTGGCAGGACGTGAGATCTTAGAGGCAGAGCCGGGGCCGTCTCCCGCGCAGTTTCTGCTGGTGCCCAGCACGCGTCCTCGGCCTCGTCCCCGTCTGCATGTCCCTCCAGGGCTCTGCGACAGTCCCAGTAATGGCTCCGTGAGGGCCCTAAGTAACAATAAGTTTAACCTGTGAACCAGGTGTCACCGCGAGAGCCGCAGGTGAGCCTTTAGGCCTAAGATCTTAGTGTTCTTGGTTTTTAAAAGCGGCACAGAAAGGGTTTGGTTTAAAATCTACCAGTAACGTTTCAGTTCTTCAGGATTCCTAAATCAAACAGCTGCTGTGCGCATATTCCAGTAGCTGGGCCTCCCTGTGGCAAACGCAGAAATACACTCGAACGGCCACGCCGTCACGTGAATGACGGACGCTCCCGGTACAGTCCCGCGACACTGCACCTTCACCCTCATCCTGGGCCTCCAGTCGGGATCCTTAGGGGCCGACTCCACCTCCAGGGCCTGGACTCTGCCGCTGCCACGGCCGCAGGGCGCTCCGGGGTCCCTCAGGCTCTCTGCCCCACGTGCTGCGGCGTTTCTTCCTCCCCGTGTCACAGCTCTTCCGTCACAGCACTTGGCTCCCCTGAGTGAGGGCTCCCGCGGTCTCCCCGGTGGGTGACCCCAGCTTCCTTCTCCAGCCAGCACTGTGCTCCAGGTGTGATCAAAACCCTGCCAGCCCCTCCAGCCCCGCAAGGAGCCCTGCCAGCCCCCTCCCACCCGTCTCCAGCCCCTCCACCCCTCTCACCCGTCTCCCCGGCCCAGCCCAGAGCCGGTTCCGGAGCCAAGGCTGTTAGCGACTTTGCCGTAGGCGACCAGCAGGTGCCAGGGAGGAGACCGGGCACTTGCGAGGCCTCGGCCAGGGGGTCGTCTGTGAGAAGCTCAGAGATGAGTCTTGGCTGGACCGAGGCCTGTGGCCAGGGAGGAGCATCGCCTGTTTCACTTGGCAGTGGTGGGTCAGGCGCAGTCCCTCAGACGCCGTTCAGAAAGGCTGGTTCCGGGGCCAGGAAGCCTCGTGGGACCGCAGGGTGCGCTCCCCTCACCTCCGTGACTTCCCGGTGAGGGCGCGTGGCCGTGTCCTCCAATCGCAGCAAGATCCGCGTCTCCCACCAACCAGCAGCACCGGGGCCGCCGTCCTCAGTCAGTGGCATCAAACCCCCTCCCCCTGCCTCCCAGCCCCTCGCCCAGGGACGGTCACCACAGGTCGGAATAGCCGTGGGTTTCTCCTCGGTTCAGGTTCTGCCTTACACATACACACATGCATGCACACACCATGCACGCACATACACCCCACACTCCGCACACACACACCACACTCCGCACACACACACCACACTCCACACACACACACCACACTCCGCACACACACACCACACTCCGCACACACACACCACACTCCGCGCACACACACCACACTCTGCACATGCATACACACAATGCACACTGCACATGCACCACATGCACACACATACACACCACGCACACACTCTGCGCACACACACCACACAGCGCACACACACCACACTCCGCACACACACACCACACTCTGCACATGCATACACACAATGCACACTGCACATGCACCACATGCACACACATACACACCACGCACACACGCACACGCACACGCACACACACACACACACACACACACACACACGGTCCTGAACTCCTTTAGCCATCACCTCCTTCAAACCTCCGAGTCAGGTTTTGTTGATTTTATTGTGACGGTGACCCATGCGAAGGCAAAAGCGTAGCCTTTGGGGTAAGAGCGAGGCTCCAGAGGAGTCCTCAGAGGACCTCTCCTCCCCCACGGCCTCCCCACGGGTCACCCCGGGCAGGGTCTCGAGGACACCGAGGCCTTCCTGCGGGCGGAGCCTCTGAGGACCCTGTTTGGCAAACCGGGGCCTGCTGTTTTTTTATCTTGTTTTTTTTTGCGATGTTGTCACTTCTCTCTGTCCTCCAGGCGGGCTTGCTTTTGAACGACTGCTTTGAAGCGACCATCGTGTCGATAGCATCTTCTGACCCTGCCGCCGATGCAGGCGGGCAGAGGGCCCGGCGGCGCTGTCCTACCTGTTTGTCCCGGAAAAGCACGGGGCGATGTGGGGGGCCTGCTTGTCCAGAGCTTGGACTCAGTCGTGCAGGGAGGGTGGCCCGGGTGGACACGGAGGCCAGCCGGGCTCACGCTGCAGCCCCCACTTCCGGAGGCCAGGTTTCCCCGTCTCACCCTCCCCCGTCCGTGTCCCAGAACAGAGCGGGGCAGTGGACGCCTTGTCCCGCGGCTGCAGAGGGAGCACGAGGTGAGCCTGGCAGCCGCGCAGGCCGGTTACCAGGTGCCACACGGAGCCCTTCAGCTCCGGTTGCCTGTCGGCTGTGATCAGAGTAAGCAAACATCCTGCAAGCCATGCAGGACTGGAGTGGGGTGTCCCCTCTTCAGGAGGACTCTGGGGAGCAGCCGTGGGAGAGGAGGTTCTGCTCTTGTGATTCGCTGTGTGAAGTGGGAGGGCTGGGGTCATTGTCTCCCCTTCAAAAAAAGCCAACGGCTCAGAGAGGCTCTGCGGCTGCCCCAGATCACACAGCAGCAGAGGCCGAGCTGGCAGCCTGGAAGCCGTCCCAGGGCCGCAGGGCATTGGCTGCCTGAAGACAGGGTGTCCCTCCCAGTTCCACCCACTCCCAGTAGCTGACTCCCTTCCTCCACTTTCATTCTCCTGCAGTCTCTCCTTAAGCAGAGTGTGCCCCGCTCAGAGGCCTGGCTGGCTGCTGCCTTCCTTCCAGCTCCCTCTGGGGTTGAGGGGCATCTAGGGACCCCCCCAAACCCTAGCCCTGACTTGTAGTGGCAGCCATGCCCAGGCAGCTCTGAGAGGCTGTGAGAGGGCACAGAGGCCTGGGCCAGCCCCCGGCACCCCAGGGGCACTGTGTGGGGAGACATCATTCTCATGCTCTAGTTCTCTAGACATGGTTCCCTTTATGTCTGTGAACTGACCTCATAACAGATTGAAAATAACTGGTTTAAAGTCCTTGTCTAGTAAGTCCAGTGTCAGGAACAGTTTCGATTGGTTTTGTTTTCTTTGTCTATGGGCCCTACTTGTCTGTTTCTTTTTGTTGTTGAAACTGAACATTGTACACAATGGAATGTGGCTATTCCAGAAGTCAGTCCACTCTCCTTCCCGGGTTTGTTGTTTGCTCGGTGACTTTCCTGAATGAATTCTGTAGCGTCTGTATTGACACACGCAAAACATGGATAAATCACAAAATAATGGTGCTGAGTTGAAGAAGCCACATGAAAAAGACAATATACTGTATGACTCCATTCATATAAAACTCTAGAAAATACAAAGTAATCCAGAAAAACCCTGGGAGGAAGTGAGGCTTAGATTTCAGTGAACGGAGCGTGTGGTCTTGGGTGCAGCATATGTCCATACTCCTGGGAAATGCCATGTTGGACACCCACAGAATCCCAGTCACGAAGGGAAGTACTAACGGGGCCAATTCACAGTTCCAACAATCCTGCTGCTGCCAGCGGCTTCTGTTGTTTTAACGTGATGCTGACCTTACAAAGAAAGTCATTGTTATTAAAAAGAAAAACAAAACAAAACACAGAATAAACAGTGATTGCCTGGGATTGGGGTGAGGCCGGGAGGGGTGGGTGATGGAGATGTTTATCTTGATTGTGACGGTAGTTTCATGGGTGTACACATGTGTCAGACTTAAACTGTAACTTTAAATGCCTGCAGTCTATGTATTATGCCTCAATGATGCTGTTTTAAAGTTTGTAAGATGACCTGGACCTGCTCCCGGAAACAACTGTGCCCCCCACACGCAGAGCTGGTGCCATGCGTGTCCCACTAGGTCCTCGGCGTCTCCCCTGGTGCCTGGGCCGCTGCTCAAGGCAATGAGACCGTGTCCACAGGGGTCACCCTGAGAGGATCCACCTCGCCTCCCCAGCAGCTGCTGGGACCGAAGGAGGCGTGTTACAGATCTGAGGGCCCCCAACCCAGGAGCCCTGGGCCACTCCCGAGGGGCTGTGCCTGAGACTGGGAAGCTAGAGGCCCCCAGGCCCTGCTCTGAATCCAGATCCACGAGCATTCAGGGCGTGGCCACCTGAAGACTGCAGGACACCTGTGTGTGCACCTGTGTGCATGTGTGTGCACATGTGTATGTGTGTGTGTGCGTGCTGCTGCGCTCCTTTGCTGAACAGACCTGAGCCCAGGAAGAACCAGGGGCCCAGGTGGTGGAACCTGCCCTCAGACCCCTTCCAGCCGGGGACTGACCCCCGAGTCGGCCTCCAGGCCCCTCACTGCTGTGCTGTGAGCCCGCGGAGGAGAGGCCAGGGGGCCTGACCCTTCCAAGCAAACCCCCAAACGGAGGCTCTGCTGTCGCTGTGGAGTGAGCATCCCCATGGCCGCTGACTTCAAGCCACGACGGGACATCAGTGCGCGGGGAGGGGGGGTGTGAGATGCGCAGTCAGCCTCTGAGGGCCCAGAACTCCCCCCCAGCCCCCCCCCCCCCCGCGCCCCTCCCGCCTGCTGGGCTCCTGGCAGCTGCAGAGAGGAAGGCCAGCTGCTGAGACAAGGTGCGCCCTCGGGCAGGGGCGTGCATGGCTGGGCATTCTTTCGCTCAGGGGGGAGTTGAGAGTTTCGGTTTCGGTTGCGGCCCAGCCTTACCTGCAGGGCAGCTGTGGCGGGAAAGCGCTGTGGAGGCGCCCCACGCCCAGTCCTCTTCCTCTTCCTCTGAAGCTCGGGTCCAGGACCCTGGGCTTGTGAGTGGAGCCGCCGCTCCCAGTTGGGCAAACCCAGGCATCCCCAGGCCCAGTGCACGCCCTGAGCCCAGCCGGGCCTGATCCGAGGGCCTCCAGCATCCTGAGCGGAAGGAGTGGGGGCATGTGTCTCTGTGAGGCCCCGGACCGCAGCCTGCTCTGCAGCCCCCGCCCCCCCGCCTCCCGCCGCCCCCCTGCCGCCTGCAGCCTGAAGAGCGAGAGTGAGGTGCCAGAGCAGCCAGGGCACTGCAGACGATGGCAGGGCTGAGGCTGCGGGGCCCGGGAAGGGTGGTCTCCGGGCTGAGACGGGCCTCGCCGTGCCCCCAGCACATCAGGAGCTTGCCCCCCTCCCCCACGTGTGAGCGTCAGTTTTACTGTCACTGGGCCAGCCCTGCCCCCAGGTGTGCAGGCAGGCACGGCTGCTAGGGGCTGCTGGGGAGGACTTTGTCCGGGTTAACGCCTGCCATCAGGGACTGGAGGTCACATCTCCCTCCAGAAGGTGGGGGGCCCATCCAACCGGGAAAGGCCTTGCAAAGCTGAGGTGTCCTTGGAGAGGAAGAAGTTCCATCGTGGCTGTGGCACAGCCCTGCCCAGGGCCAGCCTGCCCCTGGCAGAGTGCAGATAAGGCAACCCACGGGGCCTGAGCCAGCCTGGGGTCCCAGCAGATGCCCACGGGCCCCCGACCCCTGGCAGTCCCCGAGGGCCTGTGCTCTCTGAGGGCCTGGGACCGCCCAGCCTGGTCGTGAACACTGCGCTTCCGACTCCACTGTGGGGTGCTGCCCCGTGACCTGGGGGGCTCCAGCCCCTGCCCCTGCCCAGGTCACAGCCTGGGCTGCCCATGTCATATAGTCCCACATGGGGGGGGGGGGGATCCCTGCTGCTCCCTCTTCCCCAGCATAAAATATAAACACACACAAAAAAAACACATACAGGTGCTCCGCTAGCCCTGCCCCCCCAAACCCGCGTCCCCTTCATCCCTATTAAAAACAAACAAACACATACACACACACACACCATACGTACCACATACATACCACATACACACCACACACACCACACACCACACCACACACACACAGGCCGACACAAGGGGGAGATTGGGCCCAGTCCAGCCAGAAAAGCCCTGCCCGGGCAGGGACGTTGGGTTGCCTGTAGGTGCCCCGTGGTACAGACACCATCTGTAGCTCTGGGAACAACTCAGAAAGAGGGAGGATGGTTCCTCCCATTTCAGAGCGGAGGACGCTGAGGATTCAGGATGCTGGGAGGGCTCCCGGAGGGTCTGAGACTCACGGACCCGGGCTGTCCCTGGGGCCTGGGCAAGACATGCTGGGTGAACAGCAAGCCACAGTGTGAGGCGGACGGCATGGCACACACGTGTGACCTAAAAACCCCAACAGCCAATTCAAGCCTGACCGGGCCGGCTCCTCACCCCTCCCCGGCCTCAACGTCCCCCTCTGTAACCTGGGGAGGTGATGAGTGCAAAGTCTACGTAAAAGTTAAACGAGGTCATGGGAAAATGTCAACAGTCTGGCGCAGTGTTCGCGATAACGTAGCTAAGACGACCAACTTGTTTACTTTATATTCATATTGTTCAGGGCGAAGCTGGTGGCTCCTCGGGTCCTGCTGTGCTCAGCTCTGAGCTGGGGGCTGGCATCTTTGAGGGTTAAAACCCATTTCTGTGCTGAGTCAGGGGCTGGCCAGCGTGGGACCACAGGGAGCGAGGAGCAGGGTCCCGACAGATCCTGGCTCAGGCCCCTGCTGGGCCCACACGTGGCCCATGCGAGACACGTCTCCACTGGACGCTCTGCCAATGCCTTGAGCTGCTGCCCGGCTGGCACTACTGCCTGGCTGCCCGGCTGGGCTGCTTCCAGCGCCGAACTGGGTCACCGGGGAAGCCAGGCTGGCGGCTGGCCGGTGCAGGCAGCTGGCTGGGCAGCAGGGCTGGCGGCCGCGGGGCACTTAGGCCGCCTTCCCGGGCCCGCAGGTGGTGCGTGCCGTGGCCCAGCGCCCACTGGCCTCCAAAGGGGTTTTCCTGGGCTGACCTGGGGACAGTGGCCCTGGGGCATCCGTCCAGGTGGCCTTGTAACCTGGTGGAGGCCCCGAGTGGGCGCCGTCGGGAGGCGTGCATCCCGGGCTCTCTCGCTTCCTCGGAGAGGGCGGTTGCATCTGTTCTCCGGGTCTGTTTCCACAAAACCAGGGCGTTAGACTAACCCCGTGGTGCTCACAGCATGGTCCCGGCCCGGCCGTGTCCGCGATGTCTGGGAACGTGGTGGAAACGCCAATGCACAGGCTCCGCGTGGGACCCAGGGGTCGGAAGCTCTGGGGGTCCCGCCCTTGGGGGCTGCCACTCAAGTTAGGATGCGGCCCGCTGCCCTCATGGTCCCTTCCCGGCCTTATCTCACCCCCTCGGCACCCACTGTGTATGAGAAGGCGGGCAGTGGGGAGTCCACACCGAAATGCCATCTCCATTCTCTGGAGGGCCACCTCCTACTTGTCCCTTAACACCGGCTCCAGCGACTCTCCCGGGGAAGCCACCCGCCGGCCTCCACCAGCTCCTGCAGGGTGGCCGGGCAGTCGCCTTAACATGTTCTTTCTAGTCTATTCCTCCCTCACGGGGCCCCCCTCCCCGCAGAGGGCTGTCCGCCTGTGTCACCAAGAAGGCGGGTCTCGCGTGAGCCTTCTCCGCTCTGTATCCCAGAACCTTCCTGGATCTCAGGCCTCTCTCTTCCCTCCAGCTCTCCGGGGAAGCAGGTCCGCCCTCCTGCCCAGGCCAGCTTCCCTGTGGGTGACCCCCCCCAACACGCACTCCCACACCTCTCCGCCGGCGGCCGCTCCCCCTTCTGGCATCACTCATTTGTCCGCAGGACCCTTCCCTTCAGCATCTGGACGTGCTCAAGCCCCCGTGCGGTCCTTTAGGCCCCCCCACAGTTCACAGGAGGGAAAGCAGGATGGCTTTTACATACGCGATTCTCAAGTAAACTCCGTCAAAGAAACACAAAACAATATTATGAATTCTCAGGGTTTTTTCCACTGAGCTGGGCAGAGGTCCGAAGGCTCAAGAAGGCCCGCATTAATGAACAGAGGGAACTGGCTTTGCAGCCTTGCTGGCGGATCCAGGGCACGAAAGCACGTTTGGAGGACAATTTGACAATCTAAGTTAAAAATGCACATACCGTCCTGGGCCGTGTTGCTCAGTGGATAGAGCATCGATCGGCCTGTGGACTCGAGGGTCTCTGGTTCAATTCTCAGTCAAGGGCACATGCCCGGGTTGCAGGCTCGATCCCCAGTAGGGGGTGAGCAGGAGGCAGCCAATCAATGATTCTCATCATTGATGTGTTTCTCTCTCCCTCTCCCTTCCTCTCTGAAATCAATAAAAATATATTTAATTTTAAAAAGGCACATACCCGTGTGTCAGAGTTCTCACAGCGCTTTATTCATAACAGCCCCAGGTTGGAAACAATCCTGATGGCCATCAAGAGAAGAACGGGCCGGTCCACTGTGTGTTCTATGTGTGTCCTTCAGCAACAAGAACAAATAAATCCCAACCAAACGCAACTCTATGCCAGCCCCAACAGAGAGGGCGCCATGTGCTGCTTGCTCTTTGCACACGTGTCGCACGTGCCAGCGGAGTCTACGGCCTGAGGAGCCGTGAGGAGGCTATCCTGGAAGGGGTCGTGGAGGGGCTCGGACTCTGCAGATACTGTTTCTCCATCTGGGGGCTGGCAGCAAGGGGTTTGCCTGTGAACATTCACTGAGTGTGCACTTTCCTGTAGCTATCCTGAACTTCAATTAAAACTTACCAAAAACCAAAAAATAAAAGAAATACAAGTGCAGGTGACCCAGCAATCCCAATAGGCAGTGACGCTGTAGTTACTCTCACATGTGGACAAATGATGCGTCGACACTTTGGCCTGGCAAGCTGGAAACAACCTAAGCCCCGGCCAGGTAAACGGGCGAGGTGAACCCACGCATGCATCCACCTAATGAAACATCATGTAACCGTTAGAGAGCACCAGGCTGACTTCTGTGCTCTGATGGGTAATGGCGCCACGCTGTTACATATAAGTCAGGGAGCGAGGCTCAGAAGGTGCACAGACGGCTACCCTGTGTCACAGTATGATTGTGCGTGCGTGCGCACACACACACACACACACACACACTCGCCCCCCCCCCCCCCCGGAAGGACACGCGAGAGAGGGTGGCATCTACTGCATACAGCAGTTACCCGTGTCCACTCTGCCTGCCCGTGCTGGCTCTGACCACAAGTCTGTGGCGCCCGGTGCTGGCGAGGGCCCGGTGAGATCTCTGACTGACTGTCTTAGTTTAAAACACGTCAATAACCCCCTGATGACAGGCAGGCCCAGAAGCCAGGGCTCAGCAGCAACCACACAGCCTGGTGTGTGTGCGTGCAGAAAGGCTTCATGGAAAGGTGGTACCTGGGTAGATGTGGGGGAGAACGGACGACCGACCAGCATGAGTGAAGACCTGTGTGTCTGTCTGTCCGGAACATGGGCTGGACGTGAGAAGAGGGCCTTACGCCTGGAGAGCCCGAGTTGCCAGGTATTGCCGCTGTCCAGGGAGCAGAAACAAACCGGAGGGAGAGCTCTGGCGCCAGCCTCCTGGGGGAGCAGCCTCCTGGGGGGCCGCCACCGCCTCCTGCTCTGTAGGCGTGAGACCCCGTCAGCCTGGGCATGGCCCCACTGCAGGCCTGGGATTTGGATCCGGTCTGACTCCCAAGCCCTGGCTCTGTGGAGCGGCCCCGCTGTGGGGAGTGGGGAAAGAGTCCCGTGGAGTCGCACGGGGCCCACAGAGCTGGAAGCAGGGTTGGGTGTCCTTGCAGAAGGAACGTCACGGGCGAAGGTTCTGCTTGGAGAACTGGCTGGAAAGGATGCGGGACGCATTGCCGTCACGGAGGCCTGCCCAGGCAGCAGGCCCAGCCCCGTGCCCGGAGCTGCCTGCATTCCAGCTGAGGGCCTGCAGGTGGGTTGGCTACCCTCTCTACTTCCGGGAGGTCGTCTGGCAGTGAGAGAGGGGCAGATTGTAGGCGGCGAGGCTGGAGGGCAGGAGACCTGTTGGGAGGCATGGCGATAATTCAGGTGAGAGGGGACGGTAGCCCGAGGAAGGCCGGAGTGGGCCCCAGAGGGAAGTTAATAGTTGGGGAGATATTTAGGAAGAAGAAGGGCATGGAATGATGGGCAGAAGACGCAGGTGCAGAGAGGGAGGAGTCAAAGATGACCTTTGAGTTTTGGGGTAGCTGGAGGTGAGAAATCCAGGTTTGGATACAACATGAGTTCAGACGCAAGGACACTGCATTAGAGGTGTCTGCCAGTAGGGGCTCCCCTTTATCTGCTTATCCAACCATTAGTTACTGTTGCCTGCAGTGAGCCAGGTGTGGGGGGTGGGGCGGAGGGGGGTTTGCAGTGAATTAAACAAGCTCCCTAACCTTGGAGGATTAATTGCGGAGCCAATTAACAACTAACTAAAGAAACAGCATTACGGGTCATCAAAGGTGCTGTGAGGATGCGAGGAATGGCAGTCAGCCTCCTCAACCAGGGCAGGCCCGTGGGAGACAAGGGGGCCGAGTCCTGAGCCCCACCTGCTCCTTCTCCGCATGAGGGCAGAGGTGCCCTGGGTCTCTCTCTCATTCAGGCCTGACCGCCTCCCAGAGGGGGTGCTACTGACACGGGTCTGGGAGAATGGGCGGGTTTCACCGGGCATCTTTCAGTTGATTACCTGTTTTGGCTTCTCCTGACCTCACTTAAGAGTGGAAACTGTGCCCGGCCAGTGTGGCTCAGTGGTTGAGCATGGGCTTATGAACCAGGAGGTCACAGTTTAATTCCCACGCAGGGCACAGGCCCGGGTTGCGGGCTCCATCCCCAGTAGGGGCCGTGCAGGAGGCAGCTGATCCATGATTCTCTCTCATCACTGATGTCTCCGTCTCTCTCTCCCTCTCCCTTCCTCTCGGAAATCAGCAAGAAAATATCTTAGAGTGGAAACTGCGGCCCAAAGCTGCCTGGCGAGGGGTGTCAGACACAGACTCTGGCCTGGGAACGGGCTCCGGGCGCTGCAGGAAGCAGCAGATGCAGGCGGTCACTGGAGCCAGCCAGCTTCCAAAGCTCTTCCTGGTCCGTGATGCACCCGCAGGGCCAATCGCCGATGCAGAAAAACGAAAAACAAGGCAGTAGTGCCGGGCTGAAGCCTCCAGGGGCACTGATTCAATTCGCGGGGCGGCGGGCGGCGGCCCCTTTAAACGCGGTCCCCTCTCGAGTCACCCGGTCCAGGACCGGGGGCTTCCCGGGCCACAGCCGCGCCGCCACGCCGCCCTCGCCGCCGCCGGGACCTTTCCCCTACTTTCCAGGCCCGCAGGCCCCGCCCCCTGGCGCCTACCGCAGCACGTGCGCGCCCCGCCCCTCGCATCACGCCGCGGCCAGGCTTTGATCACGCGGCTCCCCGCCGCGCCCATTGGCCGGCGGAGCGCGGGCCCGCGCCGATTGGCTGGCGAGCACCCGGCCCCGCCCCGGTGTATTTTGGTTTGCCTCCCGCCCCGCCCCCGCGGCCGCGCCCTCCGCGGGCGCCCCGCCCCTCCCGCACCGCCGGGGCCGCGCCGGGCAGAGCGGCGCGGGCGGGCGGAGGCGCGTGCCGGCCCCTGGAGCGCGGTCGCGGAGGCTGCCTCTGCCACGCACGTGCCGCCGCCGCCGCGCTCTGAGCACCCGCCCCGCCGTCGCTGTGTCGCCTCGGGGCTGCCGGCACCATGCACACGCCGACCTCCATGGGTCCCGGCGAGGCGCGCGCGGTGAGTGGCCGCGGGTTGCGGGGCCAGGACGCGAGGGAGGGCGGGGCGTGCGGGGCCTCGCTCTGGCCGCACCTTTGGGAGCCCGGACGCGTTGCAGCGCCGGGCGGGGCGGCGGCCGCCTGGGGCTGGGCGGGGGCGTGTGCCCCGCGGCACCCTCCGCAGCTTTGTCTCGCGCCCCCGCAGCGGCGCCGCCCGGGCTGGGGGCGCGGGGCTGTTTCCAGCAGTGACGTCACCAGCCGGGAGGCGGTGACCATTGGGCGGGAGCCGCTGGCGGGAACGCGGCACGCGGGCGGCGGGGCGGGGCTGTGGGAGCCCGCGCTGCGGGTGGGCGGTCCCAGGGGAGCGGGGCGTGCGGGGCGCCTTTCGCCGCAGCTGGGGCTCCTGCCGTCGCGCCCCGAGGGCTGCGGGGGTCGCTCGCTGGTCCTGGCAACGGGTCGTCGCCAAGCGTGCACCGCGAGGGTCGGAGAGCCTGGGAGCTCTGCGCCTTCTGCTTCCTCCCCGCACGGAGTCCCGTCTGTGACTCCACAGATTGTCCGAGGCCCCGGGAGAGCTGCCTCCTTGCGGTGTGCCTGCGGGGACCTAGGGGGGACCTGAGCTGGACCGGAGGGTTTGACGCCTGGAAGTTACTTGCAGCTGAAAAGAGCGGGTGCGACCCCTGGGAAGACAGCCTCCTGGGTTGCGGGGACCTTACAGATGCTTCCTCTCCCCCCTCCCCCCACTAGCCTTGAGGCATGAAGGTGTGACATGTCCCCCAGACCAGGAACAGGCTTTACACTCATGGGCCCCCCAAGTTCTGCTCGCCGGGGCCAGGGGGGTGGGGAGGCTCTGCACGCTGCCCAAAACGCACCCGCAGGGAGCGCTCCCGGTGGCTTTGCCAGCTCAGAAGAGCCGGCCCTGGTCTCAGCCCACCAGAGAGCTGGATGGAGGCGGTGCCCCTCCTCCCGCTGTGATTAGCCCCTTTGGCTCCCGCCTCTGGAATTAACGTCTAACGAATCAGTGACCAAAGAGCATGAACTTTATATCAAGAACCTTTCTAAGAATCAGGGTTTTCTGTGGAAAGGGCTTGCCAGCCACACCCAGTCATCAGAACGTTGGCATGAAAGCAGAATTGTCCGAGCGCCCTGTTGACATCTCTCCCTAGAGCCGAGCGCAGTGTGTGCGCTGTCATGCGTGTGTGCAGTGCCGTGCGTGTGTGCAGTGCCGTGCGTGTGGAGTGCGATGCGTGTGTGCAGTGCCGTGCGTGTGTGGAGTGCGATGCGTGTGTGCGGTGCGTGTGTGCAGTGCTGTGCGTGTGTGCAGTGCCGTGCGTGTGTGGCGTGCGGTGCGTGTGTGGAGTGCAATGCGTGTGTGCAGTGTCGTGCGTGTGTGGCGTGCGGTGCGTGTGTGCAGTGCCGTGCGTGTGTGGAGTGCGATGCGTGTGTGCAGTGCCGTGCGTGTGTGGCGTGCGGTGCGTGTGTGGAGTGCGATGCGTGTGTGCAGTGCGTGTGTGCAATGCCGTGCGTGTGTGCAGTGCCGTGCGTGTGTGCAATGCCGTGCGTGTGTGGCGTGCGGTGCGTGTGTGGAGTGCCATGCGTGTGTGCAGTGCCGTGCGTGTGTGACGTGTCAGTGCAGGCTCCTGTGCGCGTGTCCGCACGCCTGTCTCTGTGGTTCCCGGGGCTGAGAAGCCGTCGTGTCGCCCGCCTTTAGGTCGACATCATGGACATCTGCGAGTCCATCCTGGAGAGGAAGCGGCATGACAGCGAGCGGTCTGCGTGCAGCCTCTTGGAGCTGAATGACATCGAAGCTGTCGAGGCTCTTGTGTGCATGAGCTCCTGGGGTCAGAGGCCCCGGGCGGGCGACCTGTGGAAGATGAGACCCCTCACGCCTGTGTCTGACTCTGGGGATGTCGCCACCCCTCTGCTGGTGGACGAGGCCACACCCGAGCTGCCCAAGGACCTCCATTCCTTGTCGACGCTGGTAAGAGGCGGGGGGGAGGAGAGGTGTGTGCAGTGGCCAGCGCGCCTGGAATACATGTGCTGAGGGACGCGCGGGCAGGGTCCCTGGGAGGCTGGCAAGCAAGGGCACGGCCTCCCCTGTGGAGGGTCTGAGATGAAGCTGTGTTTTGTCTTTTGGAAACATGTTTTTCCATGGATCGACCACAGCTTGCAGCCACAGGGCTAAAATGTGCATAGCACAAAACCTACAGGTTGATTTGAGAAAGCAAAACGTACTCATTTCCCTGGGCAATTGCAGGGTGGGGACCAGGTTCCCCCAGATGACCTAGTCCAGGGTCAGGGTAAGTGGGTGGCGGCTGGGGAAAGCCTGTGCGTTGGCACCAGACACCCTAAGTTGGTGGGTGGAAATACTGGCCTCTGCCTCCCGGTGGCAGCCAGCTTCTGGCTTGGGGGAGTTGGCTGCCATCAGGCACTGTTTCCTGTTTCCTTAACTTGCCGCGGCTCCGACATTGCTGGGAGAAACCCGCCTCAGCTCGGAGAGGCGAGAGCTGTCTGTTGCTCACGGAAGTGAACGTGGTCACCTAATGCCCGGGGCTGGAAGCTGGCGCTGGAAAGAGACCGCGGGAACCGCTTGGAGAGGGATGAGACGGGCCGATGCGTAGCGAGGACGGCAGAGTCTGGCCTGGCTGCGGAGCCCCTCAGAGCTCTTGGCATGAGGCTCTTCCCGGGAAGGCTGACAAGCGGGAATTGCTGGGGCGGTACAGAGGGGCTTGGTTTAGGCAGGCCACCGGTTAGAGCAGCGGTTCTCCACCTGTGGGTCGTGACCCCTTTGGGGGTCGAACAACCCTTTCACAGGGGTCGCCTAAGACCATCGGAAAACACATACATAATTACATACTGTTTTTGTGATTAACCACTATGCTTTAATGATGTTCCATTTGTAACAATGACATTGGGGGTCACCACAACATGAGGAACTGCATTAAAGGGTCACAGCGTTAGGAAGGTTGGGAACCGCTGGGTTAGAGCGTGGCCTCTGGGCGTCATCGCTCTGACGGGTTTGCCTGGCCTCATCTCGCAGGCGCTGGCTGAGTGTGTATCAGATGAGAAGCACTGGGGTTTCGGAAACATTTCTGAGGATCCCCAGTTCCTGTGGAAAGCTCTCCCTTGAGTGTCAGTTTGTTTTCCCATCAGAGTCCTAATGCTCCCATCGCCCGTTTCCGTCACTGGGCAGGCCCGGGAGCGGCACTGGTTACACCGAGCAGAGGGATAGGTTCGGGAGGTCAGGAAAGCGGGGAGACCAGAGAGTAAAGGCTTAGACCAGTTTGTTAAAGGCGTCGGGAGCGTCCCGGTCAAAGTAAATGCCTTTTAAAATGTAACCAAAGCAGCCTTTTCCACAGTCTTTTCTTCTCCCCCAAGTGCATGACTCCTCCTCAGAGCCCTGACCTCATGGAGCCGTTGGCGAGAACGCTCGTTCCTTCCCAAGCACCTGACTCCAAAGCACGCGTGGCCGTGGCCGTCCCCCCAGCCTCTGCGGGGGCAGCCAGCGCCCTCAGCCGGAGGGAGGAGAGGATCCTGCCTGGTTTGAAGCCAGAGTGGCTGCAGCCGGCCCCTGGCGCCCCCTGCAGGGCTGTGGTGGCCAGTGCCACCCACCACGCCCTGGGGAGTCCTGCTCCCGGCCACAGTCCTGCCTCCCAGCCTCCAGACCACAGGGGAGGAGCAGCACCGCTTCGGGGACACGCGGAAGCTTTGCGGGACGCGCACCCCAGAGACACTCCCCTCACCGTGAACTCAGGGCCCCGTCCGCCTTGCTCCAAGAGGTCTGGCGACTGGGTTCCCTCCGGTCAAGGCCAGCAGGCAGGTCGGCCAGTTGCGGTCCCACCCTGCTCACCAAAGAACTGTGAAAATGACCTGCCCGGGAACACCACGCCTCTCATTTCTGTCCCCGTCCCCAGCCCCCCCGTCCTTTGCCAGATGGTCCCTGTGACTGGACAGAGTGGCGTGTTGCCGGCATTTTTGAAGGCACCTCCCCCCGTCTCCGCCGGGACTGTTGCACCCATTCTGCCCCACGCTGCTCCAGGGCCCCAGCCGGTGCTCATGGGACCACCTGTGCCTCCGGGAGCTGTGATGCTGGTGCTGCCCCAGGGGGCGCTCCCCCAACCCGCCTCCTGCTCCCCGGCAGGTGTCATGGCTGCGGGGAATACCAGGTTGTTGCCTCTGGCTCCAGCCCCCGTGTTCATCGCCACCAGTCACAACGGGGCCCCTCAGGCAGACTTTTCCCGAAGGAGGAACTATGTTTGCAACTTTCCGGGCTGCCGGAAAACCTACTTCAAAAGTTCCCACCTCAAGGCTCACCTCCGCACCCACACAGGTAAGTGCGAGGCAGGTGGGCATGGGGGCGCGGATCCATGTCAGGGAACCTGTCTGGGTTCCTAGAACACGGCATCGGCTCACCCCGTGCACAGAATGTGGGCGTCCTGTGGCGGCGACCCTTTGATAGCGTTTAGGGTGATGCTCACGTGGCCCCTTTCTCTTCACGTGGCCATGGGCATGCCATTCTCTCTGTGTGTTGGAAGCTGCACCCCCATTCAGTAAACATCAGTGTGACTTAGGGTTACTGCGGGCAAGGTCTCGCCAGTGTGG